TAGAGCCTGCTGTTGAGCTATACAAATGCTATCTATTATTATCATTATTATTATTATTATTATTATTACACTTGAATTATAATATTTCAGACCATACACTTTCATGGTCGTTGCTCTTTGCTCTCAATAAAAACGTTGTTAAGAGGCTGATTCACCAAGGGCGCCCAACAAAACACCAGTCTCGCTGTAGTCGAGTGGGCGTGCCACCTTTACCCCTTGCCCTTCATTTATCACCAAATGTCGAGTCAAACGGTGCTCTCCATAGTGAACCGGGAGTACGTCAGAGCGCATGCTCTAGGATATAAAGTACGAGTCTATGGTCAGCCCACACCTCTTTATAGGGTACAGTGTAAGAAGAACGTACGATTCACACCACGTTTCCGAATTTCACGATAATTAAAGAGCTTGCATGAAAAAAATGGAGTGACTCTAATGTGATCACTACATGAAATGATCGCTTTTAAGCACAAGGGGCTATCTCCAAAAAATGCTGTTTTGAGAAAATCGAAGGTAAAGTTTTTGTCCCTTGTTCAGTTTCTTTAAAAGACAAAGAGAGTTTTCTCTATAACAAAACAAATGTACACACCAAAGACACCAAACTTTTCCTATAGGTAGAGCAATTCCCACTTTTGGAGTGGGTCAAGATTTCTGGAAACCCCCAAAATCTGGGTTAGCCCGCTTGTTCTTAAAAGCGACCAAATGCACAAAGAATTCTGACATCAAATTTGCAAACGTTTTATGCTGTACATACATGATTATGTAAACCACATACAAAATAGCTACTTGAAGATAGTCATAAGGTTCCACAACTCTTTCTATACTATACTCCTTTCTGTTCATACGCGTTTTAACAAGGCGCAGTTCTATTTTGTATGTAAGTGTGTTTCCATCAGCGACGATGGAGTGAATCTGTGGCAGAAACCCTCAGAGCTCACGGGATGTCCCACCTACAGGCCACTCGCCTTGCTGCAGAGACGCCTGTGTCTCCCCGCGACACCCACCGGTACAAGCGGAAGAAAAAAAGGAAAGTAAAAGTAAAGTAAGTTTTGTGCGCTCAGTTTAGTTCAATTTGGAGGCAAGCTTTGAACCTGCTTGTCAGGCCAACCCGAGCTGAGAGGGACACAATATCTCAGCAGAAAGACAGATCATAAAGTCGAACAGGGATTATCCCCACGCAGAAATATGCCTATAGTCCGGGCAACACCAAAAGGACAACTTGTCGACCTCATTACACCGAATCTAAGAAGCGAATCTCTGCGAATTTTTGCAAGCCCCTTTAAATTCTGGGTCCGTAAGCAGAGCCCC